GCTGCTTGGGATTGTGTATTACAAATACCCACAAACAGGGGTGTATAATACGCAACATGATAGATATATTGCTCTCATAGCCACATTTCATGTACCATTCCTATTTGGAAAAAACACCTGTATTTAGGGACAAATTAATTGTTTGTTTTTATACCATCCAATAACCGAGGCTCTCTGGGCAGTTAAACAAAAGTTAAATGTAAGGTAGGAGATGCTTCAGCAGAATTTCCTTAGATTTAAAACTGTATTTATGTAGTGACAATAGAGGTTCGGATGAAGTCTAATGGAGCGTATAAAAACACCAGGGTTGATTTTAATTAGGAAAGATCTGAGAGCGAAATATGACTCAGAACTGTGACCTCAGTCCAAATTACCCACACCTTCTAATATCTAGAGAATACAATAACCCACACACCGGGACAGAGTATGGGTTGTTTTGAATCATGGAGTGCTGTTGACACATGGGTTGGCATGCTGTCTGAACCCAGCTGCTTTTACAAGCCTAAAGGTTAACCACAAACAACCCCTGAAGAAGACCTATAGTTTGTTCTTGGGTTGTGAACTGTGGATTGGTTCACCATGGTTTGATATCTCAGTTGGTTTCAGACAACATGATAACTCCCAGTTCAATGGCAATCCATGATTCAGTGAGAATCCATACTCAGCTCATACTCAGCCCATGAGCATGGGTTATCTTGCTGTTTGAACCTGAATCCAAACATCAACAGGGAAGCAGGTCTTCTACTCTAGCCTAAAGGTATAAAGTCCAGGGATAAGTTAACAGTACTATAATATTAACATAATTCAGTTTGCGATAGCTTTGATGGTTGCTAGTTTGAGCTTACCTCTTCTTTATTCATAGGTGAATGTCCCAAATATTAAATAGCTACATTAACAGTGGCTGCAGAAAACCTTGAAAAACCACTTGGATGTCACATCCCAAGAAGTGTTTAAGGAAGCCCTGACCCTTATTAAAAAGAAAAGCCTTCGGAAGCTGTCACCTGGGGCTCCTCTGCATGAGGCATTTAATCTAGACCTCTGTGGAGATTTCTTTGCTCATTTTCTTTGTGGAAGGAAGAGAGCATCCTTAACCATGTTTTTTCCAGGGGTTTTTCACTCTGCCTTTCTGTATATTCTTACGTGTTCCGCTGTGGCACGAAATTGAATTGTGAAAATGCAAGGCCTCTGTTGCAAATAATGGTGCCATCAAGGAAAGTACCAGATTTTCCTCCCTCTCAAAGAACCCATAAAAACGCCTGGAAAGCTCAGGAGAGGCCCTGGAGCGTGACGGCATGATGGAAAGGCCCTGCAAACTCCCAACACAATAAATGCCTCGCGCAGCCTTGGAGCGGAGTGGCGGGGAAGGAGAGTGTAACAGTTCCCGACAGGGGCAGGGCCACATACCCAAAATATCTGGGGCTCCAGTTCACAGGACCTTAAAGAATACACAGATTTGCATATGTCCCTTTACATATGGTCTAAAGTGTGCATGCATGCATTTGTAAAATACGCTAAACGACACCCCTGCAAAAAAGAAGAATGTGCAGAGCAAGGAGGGGGCTTGGTTTCAGAAAAAAATGCTCAAGTCAGACAGATCCAATCTAATTCACATAGTTCTGTTTTTTGCTTCAGACCCTGTGCATCCTATTTACTCACCAATAATAAGTATTTATAAACCTGGATCTATGGTTTGATTTATCTGATAAAACTTAATCTAACAAGGAAAGCCACTCTGAAGCTGCAAATTGTTAGGAACAAACCTACACTGTAATTAATTTCTCCAGTTATTTATTTATTTAAGGCTTTTACAAACCATTCTCTCTCAGCAAAAGCTCTCAGATGGTGTACAAAAAACCAGTACAAATCCAGATACAATATTTAATTAATTAATTAATCAATCAATCAGCTTTCCAACCCACCCTATTAGCCACATGGCTCCCTGGGCGGGTTACAACAACAAAACCATAAATACAATATAAAATAGAATATAAAACAAAAATCACAAATTACAATAAAACATTTAAACATAATATACATGTTTGATCTCCACAGAGCATCTAAAACATCAAGGTATAACATAATAATCAACAATTAATAAATAACAGCAAAACCAGTATAAAATCAAATCATATTGATTAGCAATTAAAATACTGGGCAACTAAAACAGTTTTGACCTGGTGCCGAAATGTATACAAACTTGGCACCAGGCGCATTCCAGGTGCACCTACTGCCGTAGATGACAAAACTCATTTAGTCCATAAACTATGGTTTGTTGTTGGGCTGTGCACAGTAATTTGTTCATGGCTGACCAGCTGAGCTTTATTAACATGGCTGGGCGCATATAACAACCCACAACTCAACAGTGGTCCAGATTCAGCCCATACTCTACCTTGATTATGGCTTGTGGGAACCCAGGCAGTAGGAATCTTGTCCAGAACCACTCCACCTCTTCTTTCTTGCCCCCCCCCCCCGCACTTCCCAAGGGCAGATGTAACATTTCAACAATTGCACAGGACCATCCCGTGGATTAGTTGTGCACTTGCAAGCATTCACGGCCTGCACCGTTAAGGGTAGCGAAGGAAGGCAGCGTGGGTGTGTTTGTTATGCAGGATGTTTACGATGGCGGGAGAGCATGTTTGCGTGGCAGCTGCTGCAGTCGAATATTTAGTTCATGTGTATGGAGCAAATGTGCCAGAGAGGTTATATTAAGCAAAATTAAGCCATACATGTGTACAGCGACCCAAATTACAAGGAGTGGAACACATGACGATGTCTGATCCGTACCATCTCCCCTGGTCTCTCTGATAAACTGAAAGCATTACCAAGTACATTTGGTAGATCAGAGAACATAAGCAACATCCATGAATCTGTATCTAAGCTTCCAGTCACAGATCCTGCCCAGGCCTCTTGTCCGTGCCCTTAAAACCCTCCTTGCCATCACCTACCTGTCACCCTTCTCAACATCACTTTGGGCACCATCCTATCCATGTTTTTACTCTCCCCTCCCCCCTAAAAAAGTCTTATTTAGATAGAAGGAAAGAAACACTGTAGTTGCACTCCCAGGATAACTTACGAGGGGCGTTCAATGCATTCTCAGTATCGGGTTGATTTGCTATTGATGTGGGTAATTTAATTATTTCTTTAGCTAATGACACTATCTGAGGGTATACATGCAAAATTTCAACTAAGTGTGATCATTAGTTCCCTAGTAATCCTCAGTGAAAGACGACCATAAAGCCTGACATGACAATGTTGAAGAAAATCGAGCACCGCACTGTGATTAAGTTCCTTACAAAACAAGGAAAAAGTCAAAAAATCATTCACGAAGAGATGGTGGCCGTTTACCAGGACTCTGCACCTTGATTATATACTGTTCAAAAGTGATCAAGTGAATTTAAAAGGGGTAGAGAAAGCACTGAAGACGACCTTTGCTCAGGCGGGCTGGTTACTGCCACTACGAAAGAAAATGTGAAAAAAACTGAGAAACTTGTACTGGAAGATGCCCGAATAAAAATCAAAATGTTAGAAGAGATGACAAACCTATCCATTGGTACCATATTTACTATTTTTCATGACCATCTTAACCTTTCAAAGGTCTGTGCAAGATGGGTGCTGCGAATGCTCATGGCGCCTCAGAAACAAGTGTGAGCCGAGTGCTGTAGGGAGTTTTTAGAGCTCTGTGGTGAAGATCCATCGAGTATTTTAGACCAAATTGTTACTGGAGATGAAACTTGGGTTCATCACTATGACCCTGAAAGTAAGCAGGAGTCCATGCAGTGGCATAAAAAAGGTGCTGACCCTCCAAAGAAATTCAAAGTCACTCCATCGGCCGGAAAAATCATGGCCACTGTGTTTTGGGACTCAAAGGGAATTTTATTGATTGAGTACACGAAAAAAGGTGAAACCATAAACACAGCATCTTACACAACCACTCTGCGTAATTTAAGAGAAGCAATTAAAGAAAAAAGGCAGGGAAAACTGACCGCAGGTGTGTTGCTTCTTCACGACAACGCACCTGTTTATATGGCGCGTGTTTCGAAGGCTGCTGTGTGAGACCGTGGTTTCGAAGAAATAAACCACCCACCCTATAGCCCGGACCTATAGACCCCAGTGACTGCTACCTGATCCCGAATTTGAAAAAAGATCTTTGTGGAAAGCGAGTTTCCGACAATGAAGAGCTCAAGACGGAAATTAACGCACATTTTTTAGACAAGGAGGAAGGGTATTTTTTACAGGGAATTGAAAAGTTAATTTCTAGATGTAATAAGTGTATTGAAGTTATGGGGGATTACATTGAAAAATAAAAATTATTTCAATTTATTATTCCTTTTTCTTCATGCTGATAGAGAATACATTGAACATCCCTCGTATCTATGTGTCTACCTATCTCTCATACATTTCTATTATTTATAATTAAATAGCTGGTTTAAATACTGTGCTTAAATACATCATAAATAGCAGCCATCACAAAGAAACCACTAATAAAATCTCTGAATAGTATGAGATATTCTTAGTAAACAAAAATCTTAAAATCTCAGAATAGCCAGAATAGTATATGGAGAAAAAAGAAAGTAGGAAGGGAGGAAAGGAGAAATGGAGACGGCAAGTAATACTTTCTAAGGCGAGTGCTTGGATCCAATACGAGTTTTCGCCGTTATGGCCTAAGAGTGTCGTTTCGTGTGTTTTCTAAGCCAGGATGTATACATCTGGCATGCACAGTGAAATGTTAGGAGGAAGGTGCGTGCGTGCTTCGCTTGTGTTTCCGCAATTAACACTCCCCCCGTTTCACAATCTGCCCTTTCCCTTCTTGCTCCCCTCGCCACGCTCCGCGGTGCGTAACGCCCCTCCCCCCCCCCCCGCGGTCGCACGCTATTAGCCAAGCTGGGCTTTCCCGGGTGAGCTGTCCGCCCCGCGAGGCTGGGCGCCGCCCCTGCGCTGCCGGGCCAATCCAGGCGCGGCGAGGGCGGGCTCCGGCCATCCATAAAGCCGCGGCGTCGCGGTGGTCGTCATTCTTTCGCCGGCGCCGCTTGCTTTCCCGCGCTGTATGGAACCCTTGCACGGCTCGGCAGCAGTCATGTGCTACGCTTGCAAACCTTCACTGCCAGCGTTCAGGATGCCCTGCACCCCCGCAAAGCTCCGGCCCACCGGGCCCCAGTACTTCACTTTCGACCCCCTCCCGGAGGTCGAGAAGACCCCGGCCCACAGGAACGCCTCCAAGACGAGCCGGAGCAAGAAGCGAGCGCGGAGAGTGCTCTATCCTCCAGTGGTAAGTTGCGGCAGGAGGGAACTGGAGGCCCGCGCTGGCCCGGGAGCCTGGACTCCTGCGCTCGCCTGAGGCAGGTCGGCTGGCTTCTCCCGACGTCGGACGGGCAACAGGGCATCTGCGCTTCCTTAACGTTGCAGTAAGCGCCCGGAGCAGCATTCCCGAGTTTAAGCCTTTTTGTGTAAGCATGCCTGGGATTGCGCAGAGACGCAAGTTGGTTCGGGTGGGCAAATTGTGGCCCTCCAGATGTCGCTTGACTGCAGCTCCCATCATCCGCCACCCTTGGCCAGTTTGGCTAGTGCTGGTGGAAGCAATAGTGCTCTGGCCTTTGGAGGGCCACTGTAACAGTTCAGTAATCCATGACAAGTCAGGGAATGCCCATAAGAACAAATGTCTTCTGACGGAGTTCAAGCTCAGCAGTTTCTGCCCCTCAGACAACAGGTCTCTCACAGCCTGTGCCCCTCTCATAATGATTGAGAGATGCTAAATGCCTAATATCCACTCTTATGGTTGCATGACTGGCTGAAATCCAACAGGTGAAACTTCCCCTGTATGTACCATTGCAAGATGAGGCAAGATCTTGGCTTTCCATCAGGCAGCAGCTGTGAGAGATGCAAGAGACTCCCTTCCTCCCAGGGCTGTGCATGCAAAAAAGCACTTACTGAAAAAGGCGGTAATCAGGTGCTGAGGAGAATCTGTTCGTTAGGCAGGACTTGCTGTGACACGTTAATAACCTCCTCTCCCACAAACCACCAAAAAGCAATAGAAAAAAAGAACAATTCCCTCTCTTCTGCACTTAGGAAGCAAGGGAGTAAAGAGGTTTTGGGGGTTTCCTTAAGTTTTGATCCAGGCAAAGCAATTTAAAACTGAGGTGGAGCCAATATGCAGGGCAGAGAAGCAGGTTTTGAGAAGTGTAGGCAGGAAAGACATGCAGACATCAGGAAGGCTGTCATGCTGTCCCTTACCTAAATTTCTGGGTTGGTGTCATTAGCTGAAAAGGATTCTAGAAAATGTGCATGGAAGCAACAGGATGAATACTGAACTGGCATTCATGCTTGTCGTGCTCCAAAGTATTCAGGCCTAACTTCTCTCATTCTCTCCCTCAGGTAAAGCGCTATTACCCTGCCGAGGAGCGCAGTTATGCGAAACGTTTTCTCTTTATTCTGCTCACGATCATCTTCTTCCAAATCTACACTGCTGAAGAGGATGTTACACTCATGGTGCCCTCCCTAAGCGCTGAGGAAAATGTCTCGGGATGCTCCGTGGAGACGAGGGAACACCTTCTTCTGGAACAGCTGGAGCCTGCAGCACTTCCCTGGGAAATCATGGAGGCCTCCAACGCTACAGGTTGGGACTGGGCTGACGAGGACACCTCTGAATCCACCATTGACATCACCGAGCTTTTGGAGCAGAGCCTGGCTGCTTTCTGAAGATCCAAGGGAGACGTTCTTACAAGGCAGCCTGGGCTGGAACGCATCCTTTGAGGGTTTCCAGCGCTGTGGCCACCACTTCAGCTTCAGAAGAAGTGACTCATGTCTAGGTAGAGCTGGACCCACAAATGGGTCACGGCCAGTTGGACTTGGGCCAGATCTTTCTGGCTTTTTGAAGTCTTTGCTCTGCACTCAGCCATACTGATGTAAGAGAAATGTAAACTGTATTCACACTACATCTTAAAACAGGGAGGGAAGTTCCCTGTTCTATACCAGATCAGACATCTGGTAAGGGGGAAGGGTATTTTATTTAATATTTAATATTTAATAATAATAATAATTTAAGCTGACGTTTAATTGTGTGAAACTGAGATTACAAGGGAAATCTGGGTTTTGTGCTAGGTTGAAAGAAAGGTACGTAATGTTTGTCTCTAATAGGACAGAATCATATTGACACTTATTGAAAATCTAAATTTCAATCTGAAGATAATCTGTAGATTTCCTAGAACAAGATCTATTTTATAATCTACTATATGTAGGGACAATATTTTGAGGAAGATTGAAGTGTGGTGGAGAAGCCACTGATGTTTTGGAGGATGCTGTTACCGTGTTTGGTGGGGGAAGGAATCATTTGACATGCAAAGTACTGACAGATGAAAAGTGCCAAAGATGCCTCTTTCCTGACTTATGTTTATTTCTGAAGCTGATAGGAGAATCTTTGGAATGTTTCGGTTCCTTGATTTAAGGACACAATAAAAGAGGGAGGTGAAGACATTTCAGGACGTTACAGACGTCCAAGCATCCTATTTCAGACGTTTTGGTCAGCACTCTCCCTTGTATTGTGTGCTTACTGTGTAAGCATGGTCTGTCTCAAAAGCAGTGATCACATCCACACCAGCATTTCTGAAACTACAGTAAATTTCTTTTGAGAATTGCACTTTACATGTCTACACTATTCAGATGCAGTTTTCTGAACTCTGTATGTTCTGTGAACAAATAAATAAATGGTTGACACGATCTTTTGCCTGATTGTCCTGTGTGACGGTAGTGAATGGGAAGAGTGAAAATAGCCTGATGGACTCAAGAATAAAATGGCAGCAAAAGGAGCATCAGGAGTTCTTCAAGGGTGCCATCCTGCGGCCTCCCAACTTTGTCTGGTGAGCCATACGAACCCTTGGAGTCCCAGATGCTGTCATCTCGGAGCTGGGACTCCAAAGGCTGACCCCTGCCTTGCTCCGCTTGCAGCTGGAGCAGAAAGAACCATAGTGGATGTCTCCAGGTATCAGCTGGGCCTTGGAGGGGGAACAAGAGGTCATGCTGCAGGGCAGGGAGTGGAGGAGGCCTGGGGCTGCAGAATTAGGCTGGAAGGTATCCCAGAGTTGTTTCCTGCCTCTCCTTGGCACTATCTGGGCTGCTGAAAATAGCCATCTAAAAAAAAAAATACCTAGCACACCACAGCAGTGGATGCCACTGTACTTGTCTGTAGGCATAGAGGCATGAAAGCTTCCAAGTCCAGAGGCTTTGTGCAGAAAGACCCTACCTGTCTCAAGGAACCTGAAATGAGCCGGACCCAGGTTAGTGCAGTGGCAAGAAATGCTGCAGTGACCTGAGATGTGCTGAGATGAGGAATTTCATCTCTGCAGGAGCAGGTCTGTAGCCTGGGCAGACATTTTCTCACCCCTCTGTGTTTTTCAAATGGTTTACAATGCTGTCTTTAAGAGGCCTCCAAATCAGATGGGTTCTCCCCACCCCGGACTTTTATGGGGACCCCTGCAGAACTCCTGGCTGATCATGGGCCTGTGTAGGAGATGCTGATAACTCGGGATGTTCTGCTGAACAAAGGACGGGGAAGATCTCCAGCAAAGCTGCTTGAATGTAAAATCATGGCTCTGAACGGATTCCAGAGGTCAAGCAACTATTACTGATTAACATAATCAACCTCAAAAATGCAATGTGATCAGGAGCAAACAATGTTACGCCCAAAGTATGTGCAGAGCAGAGAGATCTGGACACCGTACAGGGCACAGCTAAGTCAAGTTGTATGCTTGAAGGGCAAGCAAAAGCCACCAAGGATGCCACTAATCTGGTATTTGGCAAAGTACTTCGTTGTATGGTGATAGCAAAGTAGGGAAATCATACTTAAATGCCTTGCAAAGTGAAGGCTGCAGTGCTGCCTCTGATGCAGTTGCTGTTCTATCTGTTGACACCACCGAGACACCTCCGTAGTAGCTTATCATAGATATCCATGCTATTTTCAGACAACCCCTTTCCATGAACTCAGCTGTCAGCAGCTGGGTCCATACTAGGCTAGAGGCCAGCTGTACCCCAACTGCCCCGCCGTTCCAGGGTCACCCACATACTCCGCATTCTGCCTTTCCTCTAAGGAGGTGATGGCGGTGCACAGAGTTCTCCTACCAGTCTCCCATTTTATCCCTGTAGCTTTCACATACCCATGGAGACAGGTGACTGGGTGACTTTGGGCCAGTCACAGATGCTCAAACCAACCTCCCTCACAGGGTTGCTGTTGTGGGGAGAAATTGGGAGCGACAGGAAGAATATAATGTAAGCTGCTTTGAGACTTTTTAAAGATGGAATATAAATCATAGATAGATAGATAGGACTGCCTACTTCTTCCATACCTACCTACCTGATGCTCTAAGATCTGGTTCAGAGGTCCTTCTTAAAGAGTCATCTCCTAAAGAGGTGAAGAGGATGGCAAACGGAAAGGGGGCCTATTTGGTGGTTGTGCCCCACAGGCTCCTCAGAGTGGTATACCTGGTACCCTCATTGCAATCATTTTGGTGCCAGGTGGCAATAGTTCTATCTTCCAGACATTTTAGTAATTGAATAGTTTTAAAATTTTATATGAACTTTATTGATGGTTTTAGATTGCTGTGCTTGTTTAAAACAATTGTAATTAATAGAAACATAGAAGCGGAGTGAGTCAGAAGGGGTCTCCTGGGCCATCTAGTCTGACCTCCAGCACCAGCCGGCTCCACTCACAACATGCCCAATGATCTATGTGGTTGTCCAAACTGTATTCTTTTTGTATTTTGCTTTTTGTCTTTTATTTGTTTTTATTGCTTTAATTGTCCCCTGCCCAGAGAGTCCCATCTAGGACTATCGGTGCAGTTTCTAAATTAAATAAATAGGAGATGGTGCCCGTCCCAGGTCTTCCAGTGAGCATCCTGGCTGAGTGGATCCCCCTGGTCCCATCCTGATGCTCTGCATCGGCTCATCGAGCCCTCATCAGCCGGGCATAGCCTGCCTGAGAGGAGATCCGCAGAGGGGTTGCCTGGAGCTGAAGGAACAGAAGGTTCTCAGGAAAGCACAGGGTTGCCTGTGATTGGAGGCAGACCCTCATCAGGGCGAGCGGGTGAGTAACAGGCAAGTAGGCACAATGTGGATGGTCAGAGAGTAGAGCTTGCGGGCCTTTTCAGGGGGTTGAGAAAGCAGAGCCTGTGCATTTCCAAGGGCCTGGACTTAGTGGCAGCTCAGGGTGGATTTGGGTGCGCTGCAGGAGGAGCTCAGTGTGCATCCCACCTGTGGGCAGACGCTGGGCTTGTGAGATCTGCTTTGTCTTTTGTGGAAGCCCATGGTCCATCCACAGGAGCCTAGTGCACTGTATTGGGGGACAAAGTCGACTGGGGGCAGAACCGCATCCCGTGGTCTGTAGATGAGAATGACCCACATGAACAGGCGCAGACCATGCCTGAGATCATGCATTCTGACCGCCTGACCTAGAAGTGAGGAATGCTGCATGGCTGTTGCCGAGCAAACATTGTCACTTTCCTGAGAACTGACCAACATTCTGCCCATTCCTGCAACATATTAGTACCAAACTGCGGGTATTTCCAGATGAGGCATTTATCACACCGTCATCTTCCTTTATTCACAGAATTTTGCAGAGGAGTTCAGCCAACATCTTCAACTTGTAACCATCACTATTTTTTTTAGTGCTGAAAATCAATGTGGGAGAAAAGGCCAGAAAAGCCACACAATGTCTTCTGACTGCTAGCACTAGGAGCCCTACTTCTGGAAATCCTGTAATTTTCCATGTGCAAATCCATATGTAGTTAAACAGCACAGAGAGGCATCAAAAGACTTGGGAGAAATCCAAGGTTTGCAGGCATGCCAAAAATATTTAGGAAAAAAGCCATTATTGAGGAAACAACCTAAGAAGAACTAAACATGGAATGCTGACTGACATTTGGTTGAAAAAAAGCCACAAAAGGGGTGAGGAGTGCTGTAGAATGAGGTGGAGAGCTGACGGGCTGAAAAACCTGAACAAGAACACTCTATGCCGCAACATTTCGTTGTAGGTCTGATTTGTCAAGGAATGAGGTCTGTAATTCAGGAAATGGAGTCAACAGAAATGTTCCCCTTTGGCTCAAAATACCTGTTTCCCTCTATACTTGTTTTTGAACCCAAAGCAAAATACATCCAGTGGAGACAGCAAATGCCTCATGGCTGACAGACCTACCAAATCACAGCTCCATGAAACAATCCTCCTGAACCTGAAAAAGCAGGTCAAATAAAACACAACTAGCCATCAACTCAAACATCAACTCCACATGCTCACCCTAATTTGGTTAAATGGAGGCCTCAGAATCAAACAAACTGTGGGATTTTCCAAAGTCAAAAAAGCTTTACCAGGGGGAAATATCAGATTCATAACATCCCGGGAGCAGCCTTGCTGGAAAGCTGTGATAACAACTGCCAGAGAAGTAGCAGCACATTCCCGGCTGTTTTGTTTTGTTTTAGGAAGAAGGATAAGTTCCTCCTTGAGGCCTTAGCAGGAGGCCAGAGAAGGGAGAAAGAACCCTTGCGGTTCTGTGGAGGTGGTCAAAAGCAGCAGCTGTGTCATCTGGAACAATTCTCCGACTTGTCATGCATTTTGTTCTGTGATAAGTGCTGTGGTAAGAGGGCGCGATATCATTTATGACACGTTCACTCATACTGCAAGCCCCCTCAAAGCTCCTGGCAAGCCTAGTGTTAAGGGATGCTTTCAGGTAGGCAGTTCCTTGCACGAGGAACCTGAATCCACTGTGCGGTTCTACTTTTTCTCCATGTCAGACTTTCTGCATTCAACAAGGTGGAAAACGGAATGGTCCACCTAGCCCAGCCTTGTCCACACAAACTGGCAAAGGTTCCTCAGGGTTTCAGGAAGGATTCTTTCCTTGCCTTACCTAAAGAAGCCAGGGATCAAACCTTCAGCATCCAAAACATGAGCTTTAGCACACTGAGGTACGGCTCCTGCTGGAAGAAGCAGTAAAGTTACACAAGATAAGCGTGAGTGAACGAGGTTTGGATGCTTCCAGCAAACTTCCCTGAGTGAAGCAAGGGGATAGCAGCATAAAAGCCTCACCTGGAGGCATTGAAGGGCTTTGCTTCACACGTTACTGCCCAACACAGCACTGTGGTCTTTGCCACGAGGAAGCATGTTATTGAGTTGAGCATGCAGTGAAATCCGCAGTGAAATCATAGGAAGAGCCTAAATACTCTCAGTTAGCAGACTAGCGTGATGCACTCTTTCTGGAGCTGCCTTTGCACCTGGTTTGGAAGCTGCAGCTGCCGCAGAATGAACCAGCCAGGACGCTCAGTAGCGATGCCTGCCTTACACCGACATTGAGAAGAACAGCGCCAGTTGCCCATCACCTTCTAAGTCATGCTCCAGGTTTTGTTGCTGACATTCGCAGCTCTTAATAACGTGCACCCACAATAATGAGTGACAAGAAAAACCAGAGGGAGCAAGTACCCTGGGGGTGGACGATTAAAAAAACATTTACAGTTTATTCAGACATACAGGAAATACCTGCAGCATGTAGGTAGCCCCCGAAGGGACGACAAAGATGGAGTCTGTACTATCAGTTAAACACCCATTTTGGAGGAGCAGTGGGGGATCAGCTGGGAGATCACATAGGGCCTACATGTCATAGGCAGTTTGCTAGAGGCACATGAGAATAAAACAAAAAGGTTGAATGGGATTAAGACAGCACAATACAAAAAGAAACTTC